CATAAAATCATTCTTAGCAAGGCACTTGAAAGCAATAACATATTGAGAAGTCGAATACCAGTTACTTGCAACCCTTTTTTGACGCAATTTCATGTCGAAATCTCTGGAGATTCTATTTTGGGAGGGTAACTGGAGCAGCTTTATTGACTCGCATACTTTGTGGGAATGCAATAAGTATCTGTTTCCTGGATAAGAAGGCTTCTTTAGCACTGTCTTCAGGAGCATCTGTTTGTGACTATAAATTTCATTCAGAGTGGATTCCGAGACAAAAGAAAACTCGCCATTATTGCCTTTCCATGCTTATTTTGGGTTCATCTCATTTATCTTCAGAATCGGACTCTGAAGTTACATTTGCCTATGGAAAAACAATTAGACACATTGGAAATTCTTAGGTAAATTTTTATCTTGCCTTATACTTTTAGGATTACATTATCAGCCTATATGCTTGTAGACTAATCAGGAATAGAGTGCAAAATTTATTAATTAATCTTAATTTGCAATTAATCCTAATTACTTATTATACATTTTATAAGTTTATTTACAATGCACCTCACCACTTTGGATTTAATGTCAGGCATTGAATCAATCATTAAGCAATGAATGATATATTTAGTTTAAAAGTATACAAAATTACACTTTTTTTTACCAAACATACAAAAACCGCTTATTAGGTTATTTATAACAATTCTTCCCCACTCTGGGTTAAAAACGAATTTTCAGAAATAAATCAGGCTGATTGTGCTAATTTCTAATTTGTTTAAAAATATATAGATATGTAGTCACTTCAATAAGTCTAGAAAACATCGTGCTGATTAGAAAATGGAAGATACTTTCTCAATTTGCTAGGAGCATTTCAAAATGACGTCAATGTTTAACAAAGAACAATGTTATTCAATTAGCTTACGACATACACGAATTAAGACGCACATGACAAATAAAAACTTTCCAATTCCTTTACAACTATGGAATAGAGAATATCAAACTGAGAAAAAAAAGGTAATTTTCGTAAGGAAGACGTGCGATGAATTCATTTTCTTTTCATCTGATGTGAATGGAATTTGAGTTGAGATGGAAAAGGAGAAACTCAACAAGCAAGCGACACAAATCATAATATTTTTAAAAACATACAAGCAGCGCCTCCCCTCAGCAAATGTACGAACTTATGTCGGATGGTGAAATCTTCAAAGCACGTGAAAGAATTGAATGCGAGAAATCCCATCCTGTTCTTTTTTATTTTAACAGCAACTCTGCTCTCTTTAACGTGCGTTCATTCGAATCACTCTTCTTTTTTGTTTATTTAAAACTTGTCTGCGAACTTCAAATAAAAGTTAAAGACTTTCAAATTGCATTGTTTACATACCCCGAAACAATGTTCCGAGTTTTTTCAAATCAAAAAGTCAAGCATTCATTGAAGGTTTTATTATTTAAGGGTATTATTTAATTTCTTTTCAAAAAATAAGTAAAATAGATAAAATTAAAAATAAAAAACAGTACTTTAAAATGTCGGCAAAATTGAAGATAACATGTGGACAAACTTTTAAATTATCGAAAGAAGGCTTTAATTTTAAACAATAACAGCGTTAAACTATATGGATAGACCTCTGAAACGGACTAATATTACACTTAAAATGATATACTTATTACTTACATATAGTTATTGCTCATATACTAATTACTCATATACTTGTAATATAATTATTACAAAAAGTATGTAAACATTTTTCTTAAAAAATCACCCGCTTGAAAAAATTTTCTATCTCAATAAAAATTATGAAAATCAAAAATATTTCTCATTTTTTGAATATTTTTATGAGCTTATACATTTCAATATAGGAAAAGCGTTTTAAATATCAAAAGGGAAAAAGAATTAATTACAGGTGCTTTTAATGTTATAGAAATGTTTTTAATTTTATGAACTGTGGCTTCATACTTCTTATTGTCACGTAGGGGGTCAAAGTATGACGATTAGAGGATGCTGTCTAGAGATGGACAAAATTTAGCGTAATATTCATGAATAACTGTTATATACTCTCAACAGTTGCACAAATAGCATAAAATAAAGGAAAATATTAATCATAATAATAAAAAAATATTAGCATTAAGAATAAGCAAAATATAAACATTACTTTTAAACTTGATTGTTTACAAGTGTTTGTTAAAATCTGACATGTTCCTCATTTGATTCAAATTCTGAAATTATTCTTTTTAAAACATATTACATTTACATACATATTAACACTCCGATAAGTTTTCTTTCAATATATTAAGCTATTTTTGAAGGGAAAAAAAAGGTACCGATTCAATGAGTGAGACTTACGAGAAGACAAAGAAAACAAGTTGCATCATTTATTATGCTTATATCATGATTTAAATCCAATATAATTGTATATATCTTTCGATCAGTTTAAAAAAAAATATTGTCTTTCAAGTAATATTTTCTGATAGCTCTATTGATATACTTCTGTACTCGATTGTTGCCATTAGAGAAAAATTTCATGAGTTGACCACATAACTTTTTGACGTACAGCGATTGCCCTTGCGATAAATTATCGATAGAAAAAAAAAGTTCATATTTATACAGGGTATTTCTGACCTTAATCTATATTTTTCATAAACCTTATCAGAAATACACATCTAGGGTCATAAATTAATATTAAAGTGGCGGAAAGTAAACGCTGCTGAACTTAGAAAATCACAGGACAGCGAGGCAAACTGAATAAAAAACAAGACAGATTAACTTCAAATTTCACCCTGTTTTGATATTTTTTACTTTCAGCTTCTTTTACTGTTATTCGTCATAGAACAACAGCGCTCCTGATTTTTGCTCTCTTAAGTATTAATTTGAGACTCTCAAATGTGCAAGTTTTCTTTTTTCTGTTTTCATTCCTAATCAAGATTTAAAAAATACAGATTAAGGGTGATCTTTGAGAAATACGCTGTAAACATAGGAGTAGAACAACATAAATTATCTAAATAATTCAAAGCAAATGTATAGATCACTGAAGTGATTCAAATCTAGGAGTTGAATCACGAACCCAATGAAGTGATATCAGTCTTTAATTCGACACTTTCAAACTGACTAAGTAATTGAAATCAACCGATTATAGGTGTCATGCATGTAAAAAAATTTAACAGTCACTTAAAAATGGGTGAGCTTATAAGAATTAACAGATTCAGTGCACACTGTTCGCAGTATGGATATCTTGCACTAAATCATTTAATTTAATTGGAATCTACAAATAGGAATCAATTAATACTAATCTTTAATATATTGATTTAAGTCACCAGTTTTCGATCAAATGATGTCAATGTTTGATTCTAATCATTATCTCTGCGGACCATCGGAAAAGAATAAAATGATTTCATAATTCACTAATTCAAGCGGTTATGCTGCAAAAATATACAGATATTTTTTTAAGTAAAGTTTCATAATTTGCTGCTTTAACTGAATACTCGTTCTTCGCGTCGAACAATCAATAAATGTCTGAACGGCCACAAAACTAACAAACATGTACAATTAATAATTCCATTTTCTTTAAATTTATTATTATATTTTGTCTTTCCCAGTGGCTTCACGTTATTAGAGTAAACACAACACGCTTTAAGACTCAGCAAAATAAGGATTAACAAACGTCAAAATTATTTGATAAGATGCTCGAAAACAACGCACGATAGTCAAAATTTATAACAATCACGGAATTTTCTCCTGTACTTATACTCTAAAGGGTACTTCCTGTACCCTTTAGAGGTACTGTAAACTGTATCTATAATAAAACTTCCCAGTATCGATGTAGTTTCAATAGGTATCAAATATACTACTATAATGTGTGGTACCTATATTTTAACATTTGGTACCTATTACAGGTGACCATAATACCAGTAGAGCCTATTACCAAAATGAATTAAGCATTATTGGTGTCAATAATAATATGACGATTTTCTACATCTCTCCTAGACAAATGAGTGTCAAAGCCTTTTCGCAATTAATTTTGCTAGAGAGATATTTAATTAGAGCAAATAGCTTATTTTTTTCCTCAGTTTTTATTTCAAAATTAACTAAGCATTATTGGTGTTAGTAATATTTTAGCTATTTTTCACGCTTCTTTTAAATAGATAAGAATCATTTCTCCATTAATATTGCTTTTAACATAGCTTATTTTTTAATTTCATTTAATTATTATTATCAGATTTAAATAAGTATCCATAGCGCCAACAATAAAATGGCGACTTAACGTGTTTCCTAAACAATTTGTTACATTTTTTCTATTAATTTTTCATTTTAGTGCATAGAATATCTATCTATTTTTTAATTTCGCTAAGTACCAAATTTATGTAAGCGTTTTTGACACCTATAATAGTGACCATCTCTCCATTACTTTCTCTTTTGAGCTCACAGCTTATTTTTTATTTCAATGGGCACTAATAACCAAAATTAATTGAGCCTCATTGGAGCCAATAATAGTTTGACGATTTTTTCAGGATTCCCCCAAAAGAATAATCTCTATTCATTTTGTTTCCTTGAACAGAACTATATTTTAATCAAATTATTACCCAATAACAAATTTAATCAAGCATCATCGGCTTCAATAAGTAAATATTACGATTTTTTACATTTCTCTTAGACGAATTAGCACTCTTTCTCTATTCATTTTGCATTTAAATACATAACTTATTATTTTTATTTCAATTACTGTGGGTTTCAAATTATTAGGGGGACCGGAGAGAAATGTCGTTTTGGTGCATTAAATATCCATTAGACCAATTCCTTTCTTTTTCGATCCATTTCGATTCATTTTCGATCCGTCATTGAAAGGTTGATGCTAGCGAGGGTGAATACATTATTGATTAAAAATTATATCTTGATAACACATATCAAATGCACCGAAACGACATTACTTTCCTGTCCCCCTCATAATTCGTTTTATAGATTCTCGCTCGGTGCGTTCTTGCATTTACTTTTTTTACAGGTGCCTTTTTTCCGTGATTCGAATGATGCTTACCTTTTGCCTGTATTGCTTTGGCTGTCTCAGGAGGTGAATAACTGGTGACCTGTGAGAGTGCCCGGGCAAAGTGTTCGTCCACAACGGATGATATGTCCCCACTGTAGTATGTGAAGAGGACACAATTGGCAGACAAATACTGGGCTTCCGCCTTATCATTTTTCTCTCCCTCAGAAGTGCTGCTGGCGGCAGATGAAGATGCGGCGGCGGCGGCCGGAGGACTCCGGATGGAGGCGGCGGATGGAAGAGAAGAACGACAATCGATGGGAGAAGCGGCGGGTGTTGTTGGATCGAGGCTGCTCGGACTGGTGTCTGTGTGTGATTTGATCGAAGTAAATTTCTAAAAAGAGAACCACGAAAAATAAATAAATGAATTTTTTTTTAATAATAATAAATGTATCGAGATATCTGTAAAAATAATTACATTTAGATATTTGTTCAATTTCATTTATTTTGGGAATCTCATATTGGACAATATAAAACCATCGAGCATTCCCGCAAAAAATGTCTGCTCGAAGTCAAGATGTCTTGGAGGTAAGGTTGGTACAGTTTCATGACAATTGGAATGACGGTGACAATAGGGTTAGCATGACGCACAAGCCGCCCCTATTTCCCAAATAAAGTGGTACCCCATCGATCTGAAGCAAGGATCGAATGACTTTCTTTCACAATAATAATTCAGCCAGATGAGCTCTTATAGAATAATTTAGAGAATATTATTTAAGAATCCAAAACTGAAACTGAAAAACAAAATATAGTACGTTTCACGAAAGAATACGACATTCATTCTATTAACATCAAAACTATTTTAAACACTGAAAATTTCAGTAATTCATGGCAAAAAAAAATAATGCATTGCACTAACAATTATAAATTTTAATGGGTGGCAATAGTTTTCCACTAATACAGATTAATTAGATATCGATTAAATGAGCCACAATTTAGTAGTGATGCTAATTTAAGTATTTAAGCAAACAATAAACTGAATAAAGATGGAATTTTTTCAGAAACTTTCCCTATCTTAAAAATAATATTTCAAAACATGTAAAAACAATTAAAATGCTTGCATAAATCAAGAAAAATTGTTGAAATCCATTATTCATGTAGTATTTTAATTTTTTTATATTCATGTAGTATTTTAATTTATGGACCTCGTCCTGTTTAAATGCTAGAGAATTGTTTCTATGCAGAATTTTATTTTAAAGTTATATAGTGTATAGACATGGAGATTCAGTTAATAAAGAATTTTATTTAAGAATTTCTTATTGTAAAAATGTCAGATGGTATTTCATATTGGATGTTCCATTTTAGCTTCTAATTTTGAGAACTAGAATGCATAGACTGTTTTAAAATTCAGAGTAACAATCAAAAAATATAATTTATCCCAAAAGATTCGTCAAAAAATGGAAGAAAGAAATGGGCTCCTCAGAAATATGTGATAGAAAAATATAATACTTGAAAAATTTGCAAAATATCATTCATAAAACTGAGTATATGACATTTTAATAATTTACAAATATCTTCCACAACAATTTTCAATTCCTATAGTTTCAAAAAAAGGATTCAAGACAGCTAAAATTTCAGTTAAAATTTGAGTCTCCCGATCACCTCTTGCATCACCTCTTAAATCTTAAATAGTACCGACATACAGGATGTTATCGAAGTCATAGGAATCAGTACTCAGGAAGCCGGGACTGAAAACATCAAAATCAGTTTGACAGATGGAGGAAACAAAGAAGAATTGAAAGGTAATTAATTGAACTCATCAAGCAATCAAACTGGTTTTGATGTTTTCTGTCTAGCTTTTTTCAATGAGGGTTTGAGAGACTTCGAAAGCAATTTTTTTCCTTCCTCAGTAAAATATTAATTTGTGACAGCCCCTCCCTAATGTGGATGCTTTTTTTTTTTAAATTTGTTTTTGAGAAAGATTTTTAGAGCTTAAAGTTAAAGGATGACTGCAACATTCCCATAAACATGTTCAACTCTGCTTAATACGAATTAAAATTCGTCTACGACTTATACGAAAGTTTCTCGTTTTTAAATCAATTTGTTCGTATTCAATAAAAATTTGACTACGTGCAGTTTTTCTTTATTTTATCAGCATTGTTCTTTTAAAATATAATATTTATTCGCTTTTATATCGTCAAATCTTATTATAAATATTGTTATAATTATTCTTATAATTTATGCAGTATCTTGTAATTATGCCTATAATATCTCTAAAGAAATACGTATACATAATCAATGCGATAACTATCCATAAAATATCAGTTTAAAGTCTTTTTTAATTCTTTTTTCTGTATAAATGTGCTGAAATGTTTTTAAATGAAATAAAAGTAGTTATTATAGTTCAAAGTCAACTCATCTAGATTGTAAAACACTCATGTGGAAATTGTTAAGAAAAAATGGATGACATTTCTTTTTCACGTCGGCCACAAACATATGAAAACTGAAATATCAAGCGAGTGAGCAGTCATGAGCATGAACATTTAAAAGGCTATTTGAGATATAAATTGTGCGGTATTTCAGATTCTTTATTACTTTTACCTGATGACGTTATACAAATACAATTCTCCAAATCCTCAATTCATGAACAGTAGTTAAATAGTGTGGCTCTTTTAGGCCATATCATATAGTTATTATAATTAATTTAAATAAAGGAAATTTGCTCGTCTCTCTTAAATTTAAGGAAATAATATTTTACTTACAATTAAACCATTTTACCATTTACAATTAAATCAACTTAGCATTATAACTTAAATTGTTTTAGAATAGTTGGAGAGACTTACTAATTTTCGGTATCTGTCTAGAGTAGAATCACTTTGATTGCTCTCCTTTCCTTCGGCTGCTTTAATATTAGTATTTTTGGCCCGATGAAAAGTTTGCGGAAAGTTTTAGAGAATGAGCACAAAAGTTATTTGTGATTTCGAATGAGTCCCATGATGGGGGCCCATTGTGAGATTTTAACCTTATTGTTCACTTGAATTACTCTATCCGTATTTAAGTTACTGTTCGCCGATGGAGATTTCCCACGGTAGTTTTATTTAATCGAAAACTTTGAGATGTTCTAGAAATCTATATTTAGCCCTTCCTCTTGCCCTTAATTTTGAGTGACGATAAGCGTCACAATAGTATACAGTTGTCTGCTTTCAGACTTTTGATAAATATTTTTGCATTAATGCAATTTTTCGTTAACGAAATCTTTAGCATCATCCAAATCAGTTTTTGTCAGTTTAAACTGTAATAAAATTAAATTAAAGGAAAAATAAATAAAATAAAGTCTGACAAACGAGTGTAGTTTTAAATGATGAATTCAAAAACACAAATCGAGTAACCATACTGATTTTAAGTTTTACGAAATTTCCATAAATATTACAAAATTGATCAAAATTGCTATTTTTTTTGATCCCTAAGAAAAGCTGATCTAAGCAGCACTTTTATTTTCCTCCTTTCTTAAGTAGCTTTCGAATAGCAATTTATCAATAGAAATCAGGTACAGAAAAGAAAACAAACACATAAAATTTAACCTAAAATCCAAGATGGTCTCTTAAACATATGTAGTCACGAATTTTTGAAAAAATTTTTTTTTTTCTTATTTGGGAAGCTAAAACGCACTTAGTTGGGCAGAAATAAAATATTAAAACCAAGTATCAACAAATAAACTGTTCTAGATTTTTATTTTAACTAAACTTTTCCATTTAGGCCATTTCCATTTATTGATTCAGAACTATATTTTAGTTTTAATAATACTTCGTAATGACTACTAGAGTTTTATATAGAAAAATCAGCCATCATTGAAGCTAAAAGCTCTAACTCCTTATGCAACCTGTATTAATTGATAAGCTTAATTATAATGAAAAAGTTTCAATTTAAAAAAAAAAAACAAAAAAAAAACAAGAACATTTCGATGGTTTTGCACGAAAAAATAAAACAATTATATATATTGAGTGTAACTTATTAGAATAAATTTGATATAGTCTCAGTTCATTTTCCGGGCATTATGTTCATCTTATATAAAGTTTATCTTAAAATATGTGGCAAAAACTTCTTATCAACTTTTTTAAAGAAAACAAATGAAATGTCTGCGGTTCATTTGAGGTTAATAGTGTTATTCGAAAAAAACCAACTTTTTTTCTGCTTTCTCTAAAAAAATTATAAGAAATTCTTACAATGCATTTTAACATAAAATTTATGTAAAATAAGCATAATACCTGAAAAATCTATTCTACTAAGTTATACTCAATAAATATAATACTTTTACTTGCAATACTATAGAAAAGTTTTTTGTAATCCTTTCTTCATCCTCATCAGATTCGTCGTCTTTTAAACAATCTATTATGATTAACTAATAAACTAAAGATTTATTGGAGTTAGAATAATAGAATATCAATCAAATTATCAGATAAATTATAGTATTAAATTACGATTACAAAACGATGATATCGTAACAATTCCAGGAATTTGGTGGAATTGAATATAATTTAGAATCGGGAACGTCCGGAGTTAGTTTCGAATATCGTAACCGTCGACTCCATTGCTCTATTCAACGCTCTGAAATCACACACCAAACTGGAAGACCAACGCAATAATAAAGATACAATTTTTCCAATTTTTATTTATTTATTGCTCTTAGTGATGGCTTTACGTTATGAAATTAAGCATAACACTTTTCTGGAAATTCATCGCACGAAAATAATGTAATCAGTAGCAATTGGCATGAGCTAAAGACCATCTCGTGATAACCACAATTAAGCAGTTTTCATCGGTACTCGTCCCTTTCACTAGACAATGAAACACCTATTTCCATAGTACAGTAGCAGTAGTATAGATAGCCGAGATAGTCTGAGTGGCTGGACACTGGACTCACGTTCGTGAGAACGGTAGTTTAAATACAGCCGGTCAAGGACTTCTAGTGACTGGTACACGATAAATCTGTCGAGTCACAAAGTCCTCCATGCTCCCATAACTAATCACACCTCTCGGGGTACTGAATTGGAGATGGATCGTTCTCTGATTCTGGTCAAAAATACGATCTGTGGTCGAATGAATGAATGTATGAAAGGGTTCACCCATTAGCGGGTGTGGCACATGGGTGTGGTAAAAATCGAATTCTTGGCCATAGATAGCGCCACTGAAAAACAAGAACAAGCATACCCCTTGTCTTAATAGCGTACGGCAACAACAACTACAGTAGCATAGACACGGGACTAAAGTCGACATCTTAAACAGCTTTTTCATTTACTTGTCAAATCTCATCTGTGATTTATCATAGATTGACTTCTTGAATGTTCATTGTGCACTTGCATGTGTAGTTAAATTTTGCGAAGCAATATGCACATT